GATGCACATTTAGTAATTTTCCAACTGCTATATGTCCCAAGCGTTAATTACTGCTTGTATAGGAGTCCTATTTGTGCACGAGAATAAAAGTGAAAAGTGAAGAAAAGACATGCATCTTGTAACAGTTATGATACAGTTAGTTAAAGGTGGTGGTCGTCGCGCCGCGTCCTGTTCGATATGGGACTCATAGCGACGTATACAACGCGTGTAAAATACATTGTTTATTTACATGAAATTCGAACACGCGTGCGCGACGACCACCGCGCTTTAACGAAGTATCCGAACATAGTACTGAAACCGGCGGGGTTAATGCACTTGTCGGGTCCATAATTAGGATTATTATATACAATCGCGACATACATTTTCTACGTTTAACATTTATAAAATAATCTTCCGATTACAATTAATAAATTGAAATGGGTGCTCCGGGAATTTTTTCAAGCACAATGAGTAGGGATGCATTGTCCAATTATGTTTGATCCCACCCACTTCTAGATCATAATGTCAGTCTGATTTCAATACAGAAAAAACGCAACTGGTGTCAATTGGATACCTCGGGGCAGCACATAGCTGTATAGCTTGTCTGTCATTTGAGAAGAATTTTGTCGGTATGCAAAATTGCAAGTTATAAACTGACGCACGCGACGCGGGAAGCAAAATTTGCTTGGCCTTATGATACTTTGTTTGAAACTACGCCTTGCACTCATTTACAGAACGATATACAACAATTTAAGCAACAACTTGAGAATTGCTGATCATTTTGAACAATCTGATTACAGTGTATAACCTACTATTTCGTTTGTAAATACGTAAACTATTTTTATGTAATATTTTACCTGCCTGAATACTGCGTAAGATAATTAGTCAACAAATACATTCAAAATGTTAGATTTGATAATAAATTTTAAAGTTAAAGTTTCCAAGTAAGGCATACAATCAAATTAAATATTAACTAGATTATGCTGTGACCTTTAAAAGGTCCGTGTACGCCACACGCTGAGCTTTAAAAATAAATAACAGTACATAAAACGTAGAATTATAAACTTTAAACAACAAAACTATATAACTAAAAACATATAAATATGAGAACATATAATAACGCCATGTAGCTGTGACACTTTTAATGTCGCAACATTGGGAACAAGATTGAAAAAAAATTAAAATTCTCGACATCCTCGAAAACTAAAAATGCTACAAAAAATACATGTATATCAACTGAAAGCGAATATAGGCGTCTATGTTAGAACAGATGGCGTACCGTGTTTGTCTCGGCAATACCTGACACTGGAAATCCTTTGTTGAAACAAAGGCATGCTTCTGTTCATATACCAACAACAAAACAATTTTTTTACATAGGAAACCTGCCTCCAAAAACAAAAACGCCTATTGCGAAAAAACACAAAGCTGGTTATCATTGGTGGGGAAGTGGATTATTCGCTGGTTGTTGGTGTCTGTTCTCGTGTTCTTTAACTAAAACAATAATGTGTTCAATAGCTATTCATAAAATGTTTGTGTTCTTAAAAAAATTAGTATGGGACATTCAATGACTACATTATGCGCAGTATATGTATGTTTAATTGCGAAATATTTCTGCTTATAAGTATTACTTTATATTTCTTTACATATTACAACTCAATTCCTAGTGCTTTAATCTCAAAATCACTCTCCTCGGCTGTGTTGACTGATTTACTAAAGAGTGTATCCCCAGCACAGATTAGGATATGTGGAGACGGCCGAACGCATTGAACTCAATGCCAATTCACTGTCTCCAACTCACGAATAGATTGGCAACAAATTATATGAATTAGAATTTACTTTATAACAACTTGGTTGGGACAAACTTCATCATCCGCAGAGAAGGCAATACTATAAAGGTTATATTCGAGTTTGTGTTCGAGCTCATCTCTCAAAATCCATGGAATATGCGTGATACCTAGGATAGTTTTAATATTACCCATGACCTAGTCCATTGAATTTCTAAAATTAATTTCTCTGCTGAAATATGGTCATAATCCATATTCAAAAACAACTTGAGTTAAGTTATTGTTTATTTAAATTACCTCATAATTTGTTTGATTTTTGAGTTTGAATAATACTAAGTAACACTACGATAAAGATGTCCCGTTTCGACATTGTGAAATTCGTTTGTTTTGGAAAACAACCCAGGAACAGCTGATTTTGACAAGTGAGAATTCAGAAATATATTAAGTATATCCATAACAAAATATGTAGCGTACTCACCAACTCATGTTTACTTTGTAAAACTACTGTATTTTCCCAATGAAAAACGAAAGAATCTCACATGTTCAAAACGGAAAGTCTTTACCAAAGTATTTAAGTCTAGATAGAATGTTCCCACTTTTCTTGGTATATATATATATATAACTGTACTAACCCATCGTTCATATAGACTAATTTTAATTCGTACAATTTGAATAAAGGCATACAGAGAAATTGAATAATATTCTACTTATAGTCTTATTGTACTGAAAACAAATATATTGTTACTTATTTACATCGTGCTGAACATGCACACGTAAAATCAGCTCATTTATCTGGAAACAAATGTAACACATTTAACAACCTCCGATGATAGAGGGCGCACGTGGTTCCGTGGCTTTGAAAAGCGGCCCTCTATGGTTCTGAGGTTCTGAAAAGTGTATACTACCGTCACAAGGGGTCACTATATAACATTATATTGATCTTACTCAATTGACTATATTATAATTCAATATTATAATTATTTTAAGACGTTTTTTGATTGAACAAAGCAAAAATGTGCTTACTGTAATGTCATTTGCTTGGCAACATAACTCAGAAAAACACGCACAGGCCAATCGTAAGCCATACAATAACAATAGTGTATCATGTCGACATATGGGATATAGATTCGGGTGTTACACTTTTTTCTTTTCAGCTATGACTGACAAACAAAGCATGTAAAATAGATTTGTAACGATCATTATTTCTTTGTCTGCATTTATAATAATCGTTCATTCAACTACTACCTCATAGATTGTTCACCGTTATGACATCATTTTGATACAAGAAATACGTGACATTGCCGGGACCGCCATCTTGGATTTGTTATCTGAAGTCAACAGTGTGTCAGATAGTGAATATTTGATAGCCACAAGCAACAGACTAGGGCGGTCAAGTTCAAAAGAGCAATACGCATTCCTTTACAGGTAATACAACGAATTATTTTATAGAGAGCTGGTGTTACAGACCTATCAACTGCATTGCTATATTCCTGAGAAGTTGCTCGGTTATGACCTGGCTAATAGTGGGCAACTATTTCGGGGTAATTCTAAGAGATTCAAGAACAGAGCAGGCACTTTTCCCATTTACAGGACAATACGATATCATATTTGTTAATCTTAAATTTCTAATAATTTTATTAGCCCAACCTTCACTACCAAGAAAGACATCCCGTTCTTACCACTTACTAAGTTTGTGCTATTTTTGCTATTCTCTGCGGAGCGAACACCATCATTTATCCTCATATTTGTGCTTTTATTCCGTCCCAAGTTTATTTTTCCGCCGTATAAGACCAGTTTACATAGCACCGAGGGCGCGGAAGCTCACAGTGTGCACATCCTATATGTATTGCGAACATGAGGCCCGTGATTTCCTCACAACTTCAGCAATTGTCCCATTCATCTTTGTTCACTACAGACGGCTTGCTATACCTTCTAATTCACTCCAGATCCGATAAAGTAACAATAACCGATACATATCACTATGACGACGTCGATGATAAATTTGAACGTGAACCGTTTATAGTAAGAGTCTCGTCAGCGTCAACAGGTAAAGGCCGAAGTATTTAATTTTAACATATAACACATGTAATTATGCCGTTCCCTGGTTCAATCCCTAGTGATAGTGTCGATTCTGGTTTTAGTATCATGATGATTTCAAGAACGAAAAGAATAAATTACTCATTTCGCCGCTTTCTACTCAAGCCCACCACAACGAACTTTCGAATTGTATGCAAATATATTTTACACACGTGTATACATCGCATTGCACATGCATCGAACATGAACTTCAGTTTTAGGTAGTTATTTGCATAATGTCAATAACCATACACGTGTTCCATATGCACAATGTTAGATAATTAAACACGATTACTATTTATTGTGTTCACCATAATTGCTAATTAGTTATATTTGGTGTTTAATATTTAGTATTTTTTATAGTTATTACAGATTTTGCGATGGTAGCAATACATGTAAAACCGAGCGACGCTGTACAGGAAATCGACACTCTCTTGGATGTTTATGATGACACCGTTACAAGATGGAACTTAGAGGTAAGAAAGTAGACACGAACAGATTCTATACAAAATAATACAAAAATAAACACAATGACGTAAGGGATAATTAATTAATCTCCCGTTAGATATTTACTATATGGGGGTCAGCTATCTTGAATACGGCATGAAACTAAACAAAAAAGCAAGTTGAGAAACGCTTATTTAAGTTTCCTACAAATCGGTGGGGGGGGGATACTAGATTGTCACAGCAAAATCCGTTTGAGCAACTTTCCCGGAAGTTTTTGAAAGCGAAATCTACTTTTGTATATATACCCAGTACGTATATCGACCAAATCCCTCATAGGGTCTGAGTTACAAAATATCTGACTAACAATGGAAAAATCATCATTTTAACCAAGTTGGCCAGCTTGTTCAATAATTGAAGAAAAAAAACAGTGCTTATTTTGTAATATGAATATGAAAATTATGTGACAGTACGTAATCTGCATACGAAAACAATTGTGATTGATTACAAATCTCCGTAGAAACTAAAGACCAAGTGTGGTTAATTATACATTTGGACTTTTACAAGATTATATGCCAATTTGTAGCTTATTGCGTATAGACGTCGCAAAGAATATTGTGCAAAATGACAGAATTATATCTTCCAATGGTTGATTTATACTATGTTTTCACAGGATGTCATTATTTTGGGAGATTTCAATGCTGGGTGTGATTACGTCACTAGTTGGGATAATATCCGGCTCCGCACAGATAACCGTTTTACGTGGTTGATTAGTGATCGGGCAGATACCACCGTGTCTCGCCTCAATTGCCCATATGACAGGTAAGCGGTATATATTCACAACATATTGGAAACAGACATAACATTTGCGTGTTTTTATGAAACCCTTGCATCACTGGGCCTGAGTGCGACTCCAGAATGTGAAATTTTGACTAGCTACACTTGATTGCAAATTGACCAGATATCGATCTATAATTGTTTGTGTAAATACATTACACCATGTATATGTATTTTATCGCTTTTTTGTCATTTTTATTTAATTCGCGTTACCAAATAAGTAATTGAGGACAATATGTCACATGACACGGCATATATTTAGATAAATACATGTAAATAGTTGGGATCGTGTTTGTTCCTCGCACAACAGTAATATAGTATCTCTGATACTGCTTGGCCATGCAACTTTTATAAAAAGTATTTTTTTCTAGTTCTGAAACTAGCTCGCTTCTTAGTATACTATAATTACAACAATGATCAAGTGAAAAATGTTTAATGAATTGTCTTAAACCTTTTATATTATATGCAAGTTCTGGGAGTTTTACATATGTCACATGACATCACTGACTTCCAAAAATGGGTTCAAAATCATACCTCAGATAACGAGCATCGGCATACCCACACTGCCTCTTGATCGACTTTAGAACCAGCTCACGAATATTAATAAGTTGAGATAATTTGTATGTTGTCCATTCACGACTACATATTCTAAAAGGTTGGTCACATTGCCTACTTTCAAATGTATGGGACTTTCCCATACATTTGAATGCATGTGTATAAATGCATATTTATAAATGGTTTAGGCGGTAGATTCTAAGTCAGACAAAACCCTGTCGCCTCGACACTTTGTCCCGGCGGACTTTATATCGCAGAAGAGTTCTCGTACATTGGCGTTGTTCTATACCCCATTTTCCAGGCTCTGTTAAATGACCATATTCCATGTACATCTTAACATAATTATTAAATGTGTATTGATTTGGTACCACGTTTATTTATTTATTTGTCGTGGCTAGAATCGTTGTAGCAGGGGCTACTATGTTACAGTCAGTGTGGCCGGGAAGCAGTGACGTCTTCTATTTTGACCAAGCATATGGTTTATCGTACGATCAGGTAACGACATTTGTATAATGTGTTTTATTCATCTTTTAACTAGTATGCATCATCTCCTTATTTTACGATGGCTACGAATCGAATGATAAGATCACACCTCACCGTTCCCAATTTCATAATTGAATATGATACAAGGAAAAACGACGTTGTTAAAATCGAAATAATCTAATAACTAACCCAATTACAAAATTACTTTCTGAATTGTTTATCTATTACTGTTTTAGACAAATGATGTCAGTGACCATTATCCAGTGGAACTAAAGATATTACCAAAATGTATGTACACACTATTTGTACAGAATAGTAATTCTCAAACATATTCTATCGGCAAAGTTATCTACCATTGTTTGTATTGATGTTAGAGTGTAGGTATTTTATGTTTCTTTTTTTAGTGTCGGAAATAGAAAGAAGCATCTCGATTCAGTCATCTTTTGGAGTCTCTGACAGCAGCCACTCTGTGAACACATCAGATGTGCTAGATTTTACATCCAAGTCCAGTGTCTACGGGTTTGAGCATGTGCGGTTTACGCAGGGAGATGCCACAGTAGTGGTTGTCTGGAAACGCAGTGAGGTTGGACGTCAAGGAATCATAACAATTGTCAATGAGCTGCATCAGAACTTTGATTCCTTAGTGTCTGAACTACAGAAGAACGTAGTGCTAGAGAATATAGAGAATAGTTTTAATGACGTCATTTCTGACTCAGTCTCAGGCTTGACATCAGATGTTTGGTATGCTCAAATCGTCTGCACATTGGATGACGTGAACAGGTGTATTGTATACGTCATAAATAGTCCATTCTATGGTGCAAGCGGTTGGAGTGTTGCTGCAAACAATGGAATTGGAACTCTTGTGACAAATACAATCCTTTTAGTTGCCTCGTTTGTTTATATAATATTTGCTGATTACTAAATTCAAATTAAGTTAGGCTAGGTACATCCATGTGTAAACTTAATTATTGTTCAGTCAGTAAACATGAAATTGTGTAAACGAAATTGTGTTATTATCTTAAATGAATATAGTCCATAGTACCATCATAGTTACCATTTTGGTACAGTCACTACAACTAGAGCAATATGCCACATATTCATAAATTCAGTCTACATTATTTAAATGATTATATTTACATATTGTTTTTACACGGGGTGTGGCTCAGTGTTTCGTTTGATGTCGTTATACCACAGAGAAGATAGATTCAACCCCACCTTAATTAACAGTAAGTACAATAAGATATATTCTTTTTGGACAACCAGCAATACCTATTGGACATACAGTGTTAAGTTTATAAATATTATTAAATAATAATTGATTTACCTTCGAAGAAATAACGTAGCACACAAGGCGATTATACGACGAGCAAGTTTAGAAAAATGGCGTCTTTTCGGATCAGATGACTCATCTTTATCGAAACGAGCAGAATAATTTGCCTGTTGCTACATTCGTCCTAGCGTACTGAACTCCTCATAGACGACGGTGTAAACACATAAACAGCTGAGATATTTTACACAAATCACCAAAGAGTCAATTTTCCAACATTATAAAATAACAAGTAATTAGTTTATCATTTTTTTAATTAAAAAGTTAATAAATAGCGTCATCCCATATGTAAATGCTGGAAATGCTGACCCAGCTGATTATTCACTCTGAATGTACCAGTATGAACAATTTTCTTCATGAATGTACCTAAAATAGTCAGACTGTTACACTTTCCAATGTGGTTCCTTTTACAGAGATGTAGCAAAGATACTACATGGGGCCTTTATTTACTACGGATGAAATTAGTGCGTTTGTAGATTTCTCTAGTTGTCTTTTTCAAAACTATTGAATCATCAGAGTCATGTTGGATATGGGTCCCACGTAACGTATACAACGTGTGTAACATATATTGTTTGTATGCACTGTGGCCGCGTGCTGTACGAAGGCTCGGACACTTTACATCAAAGCGACGTATTCTAACAAGTATGGGTACAATGTGTTTCTTATTTCTCATGCCATAGTTTCCCATAAGGAGTCAATGTTATTGTATATGTACAGATTATGGCGAGGTGTTCGTACCCACACATTCCGTTCTGCGTTAGGTCAAATGTTTCATGTGTGGTAGAATAACTAACATATTGATTGATACTAACCGTACCCGGTCATAAAACGAGATAACGTATCCTTATTGAAAGATTGACACCACGTGGAGCCTAGCTATATCAGATATATAGAAGGTGATTGGCTGAATCATGGCTATGAATATATTGGTCAATTAACTTATGACTTATCAGTGAACATACATTACACCTAAAATAAAGTAATCCACAGTATTTCTCGTTGAAAATAGAACATAATATTCATTACATTCAGTATTTATGTTAACACTTTTAAACTTTATTATGGGTCTATGGTAAATTAATCGACTGTATTAAGAGCGTCCACTCATACAATAATGATAGACAGTCATGCTGGTATTGTTGTTAATACGATATCATAAACCACCTCACAGTGACGTGTTTACACTGTCTGGATCAATGCGTCTAGTCGATGATCATCTCCACTGGGTAGTGGTCACTCACGTCCAATGCCTGGAACAAATCAATGCGGTATGACATAATATAAAACGTACATATATTCAGATATATCCATCTAAACGAAACGGTTCGCGAGATTGTGCTATGCCATGTGATTACAAGAAAATACAACGTTCAACTGCATTCGATATATCAAGTGAGGGCGCACCATGCAGGCGTAGTATCGTTTATGTAGTAACAAAAAACGCGCGTGACGTACCAGTGTGGGATCCATTGGGGTTCCATAGAGGTCAATGTCATAATAAAATACTTTAGCACTACCCGGTCGGAACGCGTCTGTGAAGCCAGCTCCATGAGTTACTAATCTGTCGGGATAACGTGATACGTAAATTAGCAGAGAGGGAAGTGTTTATTAAAGCAACACAGTTGTCGCCTTGCGCCCTGTTCCATGTGAAGCCCATGCGGTGTATACAAAACGTGTACAAGACATTATTAGATCTACATAAAATATGAACGACTGTATTTTGTATCTTGAGTTCAGTTCGCACGTAAACGATTTATTCATCGGTATGTCCATGTCAAGATATCTATATTCATAAGTAAATTATTTGCCTGTTATTATTAAGTTGGTCAAATCAGTTGTGCTATCACATTTTCTATCAAAATTACAATAATTATGTTTAATAAATGTACATATTCTTTCAATAGACAACGTCACGGTATAATTGAAAGTATGGAAATGATATGACCCCCCCCCCCCCAACAAAAACGCCCTCTATGTTCTATCCCACAATCCTTTGCAAAATCCAATATGGAGTTAACACATTTCTTCCCTATACTGCTACTTACCTGTCATATGCACACGACGAAGAAGCCAAGTTGGTGTCGGCATCATCGCCGATTAACCAACTGAAACGAGATTGAGTTCTGTAACTGATGTATTGCCAGTCGTCCTCTCTAACATAATCACAGTCAGCGTTGTAATCTCCACCAATCAAAACATTCTAGTAGCATAAAAAAGACGAATAACAAACTACATTACATTGTGCAGATGCGCCCAGCAGGCGATTGGAAAAGTATGCGAGCTAGGAACTCAGTGGTGTCGGTCGTTTTGCCAAATTTGTAAGTTTTCATTTGTTCCTATGTGATCTCAAAACTGTACTGTTTAAAAAAAAGTGACACAAAGTTCTGATGGAAGTACATTTGGTTATATACAATTATTTAAAATTATATTAAATTTTAGTTATTTAAAATTCAACAAACAAATCTCAAATTTCGTAATATTAAAATACAGCTTACCACGTTGTTATATACATCTACTGCGTCGTCATTAACCAATGTCAGATAATCAATCTCCGCCACTGCGTCATCTGGTTTTACGTGTATGGCTCCAAATACAAAACGGGTGAGTGCTGATGTCAAACAAAAAGCAAAACATGTATTACTAACATTAGTTTTACCATGGAGCTAAAAAAAGATTCTTTTTTTAGCTCCATGGTTTTACACATCACGTTTCATGTTTCATATGTGCTTCAAACCAAATCGTCGGCAACAATTTGCAAGACTGACTGCCTACAATTCTAAAATTTGAAATTTTTGTTTATGTTATGAACAATAATATGGCATAACGTACAGTCAGTTTACCGGGTGAATTTGAATGCATTTATACTTGCTTCACTGATGTAACTTTTGTATGTTCTTGTTGAGTGTACTAACTGTTAGAAGAAAAGAAGCAAGGTGCATTCTCCACTGTTTACTCGTGAATCTTGCTTTTGTTAACAATGAATCTGTGATTGAATAATCATTGTATTAGAACACTGTTGACAATGCAAATGTTGGTATCTAACTCTGGGCGTGTCGTTGAATCTAATGTGATTAGCTTATTTCAATTTTGCGAGTTGTACTTGGGAATGTGGCGTGATTTAAGCGTGAAAAAATACCTGAATGTGATGTTGAGAAATCAACCATGTGGGGTTCGCGTTCGAAGTAATCATGTTTAGAGTCATCATATGTGTAACTGCGCACAACCGAGACCACATCATGCCTTGAGAACAAACAAACACACACACAAACATGTCAAATCAAGTGACGGACAGAAAGCTAGTGTCATCATTATAGATAAATAACCTTGAAGTGAAGTAGTTAAAAACGTATAAAATTTTGAAAAGATTTTAAATGTATAACTTCTTAAAGTTAGTTAGAACAATACAGAACGAATTGGACTGAAGAATAAGTAAGGGTGATTACAATCGCTCAGCTCCAAAGCAGGTTAGTTGGCGTTAATTTTGTTGAAATTACATTTCAAGAAACGAGTAATGCGGACGTAGGGAGCACGTGCCTGCGAAGTTATGTTTATCTGATAGCAAATATACCATCACGATCTTACGAAAATACAAGACGTGTATGCATACGTTTATGATATACTGTTATTTATGAATAACACTGTGCGTCTACCTGTAATAAAAAGCATACTGTTCTTTAGATGATGTCCTTCCAACACGTGGTCCTAACTCCAGACTGAATGCACCATTATTTTGACTGTAGAATAGAAGAATATAAGGATATAATTATTTCTTTTTTCTTGGGCCACTCAGGGATAATAGAATCTCTTCTTTTCTTAGGGCCATTGATGGATATTATTATCTCCTTTGTTATTGGGACCACTCAGGGATAATAGTATCTTTTCTTTTCTTGCAACCACATGGGGTAATATTATATCGTTCGTTCTCTGGACAACTCAGGGATAATATTATCTCCCTTGTTGTTGGGACCACATAGGAATAATATTATCTCCCGTGTTGGGACCACTCAGGAATAATATTATCTCTTTCAAATTTTGTTCACATTTTGGACCATAAACTGTTGGTTACGGTTTTAATTTTTTTTTTTTCATGTATAATAAAACGAAAGTATAATAAACCTATATGTTGGCGAGTGGGTGCTTTCCCCAATTACATTTGTTTTCAGACTACAGTCGAAATACTCGACTAGTAAGTCAGTAATTGTTCGAATCATCGCATATGATTCAGCTGGCACCGTCCGAATAAATCGCGCCTCCTTGTGACATAGAGCTCCTGTACGGTGACGGCAAGACATATATTGGCGAATACAATGTGTTCAAATCGACAACTTTGTTTGTAGTCGTTTGTCATCTAGAATATAGAGAAGCGCATACAAATATAATCTTAATTGACATTTAAAATCGATATATAAACTTTGAGCGGCCTCTTTGTCAACATTTAAGTCATATAAGGGCCAGGTCGACAGAGGGCGCTATTCATCTCACTAAACAAACCAGCCCACTCTTCAAACAAATAACTTGTTTTCATAAGTTGTGTTGTAAAAAAAATCATTTAGCATAATTTTGGTGGTCTTGTGTTTGATTGAAACTGTTGCAGGACTGGTGTTAATATGTATAACATACACTGGTCTGGTACGTCAAGTTGTATCTACACTTACAAGTCGTCAGAGCGATAGACGTTGCATGTATTTTACTTACGCGTTCAACTCATCTAAAAGATCGTACACTGCGATTTCATCGATGTCACGAACCTCTTGCACTGCACAAATGTCGTATCGTTCAATAACCTGAATGATGAGCAACGTTGATTAGAGAATGTCGTTTCTGCGTGAACAGTCAATTACGTATACTACTCAAAAGTCGATTCGTACAGTAAATATATATTATATAATTATTAACCGGGTTTTGTTGTACGCTTACTCCGTGACAGTTGAATAGGCTCGGTTGAAACTTGGCTAATGCCATATTTACAGAGGTTTTCCGACACATACCAGTTTAGAAGTAGATACCAGCGTCATTATATCCGCTGAAGAAAAAATATACGCAGTAAACATTGCAGGACGTCTATAACATGTAAATGATATGATTAACTAACGTCCACAATAACCTGTACAACCTCGGGATCGCTCATCTTGGATTTTCCAAACACTTGAATGTTCCATGCAGAAATATAAACACTGGCCTGAACACAGGCGGCTCCCAAAACGAGAATAGCGAAAGCGATGTGGATTTTCATATTGATCGTCTGCTGGCTGCTGTCGCGCGATGTTGGCAACAAATGTTAGACATGTCGTCATACATGTCAATATATAAACATCCATTACATAAATCATGATGTAAGTGACACAAATATATGAATGTATACAAGGCATATTTGCATATCATACAGACAACGATTGGGCTCTATGCGCATGTGACACCTTACATTTTCTGTATTTGTCAGAAGAATGTGTCTTCTCAAACCACGCCCATGCAAGGTTGTGCTAAAGGGAGATATCCCTGTTGAAAACACGTGCTGAATGTTTGAATGATAAGCAGCTGCTTCAAAGATACGATTTCACACTGTTTACGTCAATCAGTCAAAAAAAGTGTGTCACAAATTATTCAATCAAGTACAAAACATATTTGTCGCTGTGTTTAAAAAGTTCGAATGGTGTATTTAGTGTTGTAATGTGTGTATTTTTGTTTTCCTGTAGTTGCATATATTTCACCCTTAAGGCATAGATGTAGGTTGGCACGGTTACAGCGCCACATTCCCACGTGGTGTAATTTTCGTTCCATGCGACATAAACAACGCTTTTCGAATTGATTGTTTATTTTAAAGCACTTACAGTCGCCAAGCAGCGTGTGTTCGAATTTCGTGTAAATAAGCAATGCATTTTACACGCGCTGCATACTTCGCTATGAGTCCTACATCGAACATGACGACGCGATGCGACGTCTGTGGCGCTTTAAAACACAGTTTTACGTAAACCAAAAAAACAATGCAATCTAATGTAAAATACTAATGACCAATCATGAGTTAAATTTTGATCTGAGTTAATACTCTTTTTAAAAATATAACAAACACTTGTTGTCGGTGGGGTACAGCATATTTAATATTCTGACCTGATTTTGAGATTGGCTCATCAGCTAGATTAAACCCTGTTATCATGTGTGTGAAAAACCTTATAAATACAGCTGTCCGAATATCTCTTATTATATCTGCATTAATGCCTTTAACATACTGTGAGCGTTTTGCATATAAGCTCAGGGACGTGTGCGGTAGGGTGGGTGATGTGCTGTTGGCGGCCACGCACTACCGACTGTCTGTTCATGCATACCATTTTATTTCTGTTTTCTGTTCCCATAAAAGGTATTGCCCACACCATGACATGCCGTGGTAGCTAGCGTGTCTGGCTATATTGGTCGCTGCCACTTTTCGTAATCGTCAGTTAAAATTTTATGCTGTAACTGACGTGTGTTTTCCCGTTGCTATATTACACGTGCAATACACAATAAGTTGGTAGTTTACTAATATTTATTCGTGTATGTGTACTTTATTTGTAGATTGGGTACTCTTTTGAATTGATTTTGGGACATTGTGGTCGAGGCTGCTGGATTTACACTCGCGTTGTTACATGTTCACTCAATCAGCAAACGTCATTTTAAACTTGGTGGTAGGGTAAAAAAAAAAGAAAGAGCTCCGTGTTCGGCTAGAGAACGCTATAATTAAACAGCCTTCTCCATTGAAATCACTCAAATACAGACAAATATCAGACAGTTACATTTACAGAATGCCACAAATCAGAATCCATCCCGTGCATTAGATCCAGCCCATGATATTGTTATTGTTGAATTAATATGTTATTGGAAGATGCAATGCTATAAACTTCGTTTAATTAATGGATACCATGTTTGGTTGATCAAGCCATCTACGTAGAATGGGATTTCACGTAGCAAGTGTGCGTGTGTCACGGTTTGTTTTCATGACAGTGGGTCGGGGACACAACTACGTGTGCAGCCTTTTAATAATGAAAACTGTTGGTGGTATATGTTACTACTGGTCGTTGATGTGACACCTGATTAAACATTCTGACTCTAGGAATGAACATTACAACATGGAGCTTGGACGTCACAATATGGTAAAAAGACATCTGGATATGGTGAATGGACATCAACATAGGGTGAACGGACATCACAATACAGTGAACAAACAGCACCATATGGTGAATGGACATCACAATATGGAAAATGTGCATCACAATATGGGGAATGTGTATCTCGATATGGTGAATGAACATCGCGATATGCTGAACTGTCATCACAATATAGTGAATGGACATCACAATATGCTGAAGAGACATCATGATATTGTGAATGGACATCACAATATGCTGAAGAGACATCCTGATATTGTGAATGGACATCACTATATGCTGAAGAGACATCCTGATATTGTGAATGGACATCACTATATGCTGATGAGACATCCTGATATTGTGAATGGACATCACTATATGCTGAAGAGACATCATGATATTGTGAATGGACATCACTATATGTTCACATACCATGCCAACAGACATCATTCTATTACACACTGCTGATTGAGGCTGCCATGACCTCGATCAATAATGCTCGCTTCGAGTCAACATTTCTTTAAATCGTCCTCGGCCAGAATCAACACATTAAATTCATGCAAATGCCGGTCCATATAATTATGTATTACCTTTCCAGCATTTGCACAGACGTTGATAGTGATCAAAAATTAATGCTTTCACGATGAGGTTTCTCTGCGTTTTCGCAACTAACACCTTCAGCTCATCGATTTATCGTGCATCACTTGGACAAATATAGAAACTTATAACCATGAGGTAGACATTTATCGATTGGCCAATCTGTAGTCGAATTTAGTGTAGTGGAAACATATTACCTTTTATTTATGTCTAAGTGGTTCCAGGTTGCTACTTTTGTTTGTCATATGTAAACATCGCGGGTTTTAAAATTTGCTCGTAGTATTTTTTTTTTTTGTACCGAAATTTAGGAAGATATTATGGAATATAAAAATACAAACAACCATCAGGTGAAATAACTATTTGCGAATGAAGGTCAATATTTGTATTATTTAATTCAGTAATTGAGCATCACCGCAGTATGGTTTCCCAAGAGATATTGCACCATTCACTACTAAAAGCGATGTGTAACATATTAATCATTCCTATGAATGTCCAGTTTGACTAGGGGTCACATGTGGAAGCATACGTCACCAACTGTGCTTAAGAGACGTTGCATGTAGTTGTTTTTCTGTATTCATGAAAACAGTGACAGAAGCATGCATGCCACGTGAAATTCCACACTACTTAATTGTCTTGGTCAAAAAACTACAAGGCTCTCCAAAAATATTCAAAAACTAATTTATTGTATTTATTGATTAGAACGGTGTATTTTAATAAATTCCCTCCCTAATAACAATTAACCATAGGAAACACAGTACGGCGAGACTGGGACCGTTTAGTATATGTAAATGTTCCATATACGTCTGTGCGAATTTATGCAACGGAGACAGATGTTTAATTATAAAGTTATCTAGTGAAAAACGGAGCACCTTCGGCTTTGTTTTCCAACAATTAGTGTTTCAGTGGAATTTAACAGATATGTAGAAAAGATGAAACAGTTTCTGTAAAATCTTTTAAAATGGGTAATTGAATCATTGTATCTACATGTAACAAGGAAAGTTTATGTGACATGTACACGAGTGATGGTGGGCGCAATATATAGAAAAAAGATCAAAAATGTGTGCGTGAAAACAATCGGCAAAGATAAATCGTGATCGCAAACCTCATTCATCCCAGAGAAGATTTTATAAGAAGTAAACTGAAGGTTACTTTTCTTTGTGCAGTTAGTATGAAAGATATACAACAGCTATACACACTAAATTTTTCTCATACATTTCATTTGGGTTATCCTGTGACCTGGAATGCAAACACATATCGATAGATTTACTGGGTTATCTATTTCTATCTTCGGGGCTATTTATACCAAGCGTCTGTAATTGTAAACAAATTTGTTATTATTATTCCCACCCATGATTAAGTTGACTTGTCGTTAAATAAAATGTTGCAGCTGAAAGTCACGTTACGCACACATTTTATGTGAATTTGCTGTGTTTCGGAATGCAAACACATAGACTCTACGCGATTCCTATAATTGGCTCACCCTACACCCATATCTATACGCTTTGACAATTGAACACCAAAGCATAATTGCATGTATTTGTTAATCACAGTGTATGTCTTGCTCACAAGCCTATTGTGTTTGTTCTGATTATCACTGGGCTTTCAATCTGAAAAGAAAATCGTTCCCCCTTAAACCACCAGGTCAATTGAAACTAAATTTGACAATATAGAACAAGTTAAGTTGATAGGATCCGTTATTGTTTTTTCTGTCATTCATTAACATTGTCTAGGTGAAATGTCAAATTTTGAAATCCTAATAAATTCTTATACGTATCTTGCCGATATTTGATGAAGTAACTACAAGAAGGTTTGTTATATTCTGCAATGTATTTTGACCTTATTAATTGATTGGCACCATATTTGGTGTGTGCATGTGTTGGAGCATACTTCTTTTTAAACCAAGATCACGCCCACATCATCCATGCTTTTATGTTAGCAAAATTTTGTTTGAAATTTTTGATAAACACAATAGCTACGGGGTAAGCTAGATACCCGCCTTTCTAATAGCCAAACATCACCGATCAGATTCGTAGATTCGGTTTTGATTGATTATTCAGCATCGCAGGGTGTCATCAAGTCACTGAATCGCACGCGGGATTCTCTGTTCGAATATTGAATATGAACTGTATTACAAGTTAAATATTTGATCTGAATCATTTTCCATTAAAATTGGTCTGAAATGCACAGCACACGCTTGAGTTGTTTCGTGAATAACCATTAAGACCGCTGTTTTGAATTTATAGGTTGAATATTTTCCCCATGTTACCGCATTATCCGAAAGAAATAATAATTCAATATAATGCCATAATCGAGCATATGCTTCCTACATATAATCTCCATCTCAGATATTATTTCATGAATGACGTCAATCTTTTAAGACAACTAACTATCAGGAATTTATTCAAAATTCAGAAATGAATGATTATTACTGAAAAACGAAGACAAAGTTTTTATTCTAAATGTGCTGAAATGTTGTTTTTAATATGCTAACAGTAATAACTTTATATTCTATTTAGTGTATCTTTATACTTTTAAGTGAAAATTTAAACGTGGAAAATAAATTTAATTTTCAATAACTTCGCAATTCAAATATAATAGTGCTAAGAGAAAACCTACAAGATGAAGGTAGTGAAATGTAATCTTCAATGACAAGCATTGAAAAGTTTGAATACAAGTGTGTAAGAACATGGGACCCATTTTTTATTGCATTTTTTGAAAAGGTCTTCTCGGGAACCAATGGCTCTTTAAATCTGGTAAAATCATACGCCTTCATTTGCCAGGAAGAAAAAAAAATACAAAAACAAAATTTAAAGTACAAAAATGTGTTAACCCTTAAATCGCACAAGTGCGCACAATGAACGTACCTACCCAATGACATATTTCTGTAATAATATTTCTGTAATAACTTGAAAAGTTGTATAAGTTCTAAGTATAAGTTTTTTATGAATTTTCCAGATATCCCCCCCCCCCGCCATACGTTCTATGGCAACTCAAACAACAACCCTTCGTCTTCACAAATTCAATTGTTCAAAACATCGTATATTGAAACAAATAACTCATTTTGCTAATAATTGGCGACCACGTGATATGAAGAAAGTCTTTTCTATTTAGCGGAATATTTCCTGGGAAAGGTGCCAATTGAAGGTCGTGATTCTATATCATTTAATCGTGTATTTCTATGAAAGGAGTTGAGGAATCTGTAGAATCGTAGAATCTAGTGGGACGCGTTCTATTGCGTCAAGGGTCAAAGTTACTATGATGAAGACATTGCTATTTTGAATGTACATTCAATTAAATATTTAATATTTGTATGAAATGTAAAATCATTCTCGGACTATATAACATCTGGGTTATTTCAGATGAATTTGTTTTGTATTTCCTTTCATTTTGTACATTTTTTTATTTTTCCGGTTTTAGTGAGCAGTAATAACTATCAATTCTTCAAATAAAGAAATACCATTGAATCATCGATGTAAAAAAGTATCGCTATGTGCTGACAGCAAGACACGATGTCATCAGCGTTCGAAATTAACTGAAAATCATAAAAGGCCCGAAGGACCTATGTCAAATTGAAACTGTAGGTCCTTCTAGCTAACTGTAGGCCCTAGGCTGATATTTAACAAACAAAGACTAAACGGATAATACAAGCTT